CACATACACAAACACATACACACACAAAACACACACACACACACATACACACACACACACGCACACACACACTCACGCACTCACACACGCAACCGTCCTAATCATTTTATTGACACTTATGACAAAGCAACGTTATACCACCACTGTACACCATGGCAAACGAAATTAAACTTGTTTCATGTAAGTCCAATGTAAATCTTTCTGACGTGATCCTAAAATTACTGTCGAGGTAAAGAACACATAACGTAATTAATTAAATTATTATCGCCAAGTTGGGAGTTGTTCAAGGCGAGACAGTGTCAGCACATTGACTCTGATAAAGAGAGCACAGCCTAAGACACATAATTTAATTCTTAATAAATTTGACCCTTTTTCAGCAACACCAAACATTGTAACCGCAAGAACATTGTTTTGCTATCTCCTTCAACGATATCTTGTACAAAATGGATTTCAAACTGCCAGTAATGTAGGCATTTTTACGTCCGCACCGACTAAAGTTGGATTATCTAGGAGGCGGGCTGCGACCCTGCTTATTAGTGCAAAACCGGGCTGAAATTGACACAATTTTTAATAACGTTCAGGCAGAAAGACGGAGATTAACAAATCTTCCCCCCCCCCCCCCGAAAAAAAACCCTTCTGCACTCTTTAAAAGTGGACACTCCATTTTCTGAGACATAAATCTGAAATAAGCCCTCTTTCTCTGATAGCATTCTCACAATGGCCATCACAAAGGCGTAATAATTCAGTGTATAGGGTATAACATTATTCACACAAAACAACCATCCAAGAGACAAATTCTTGAAAGCAAACATAACAGCGTTAGTCTTGACTTTTACAAATTTCTTCTATTTTTTTTAACTGAGGGAGTGGGGGGTATTCTTTTTTCTGATGGTTCATCTTACCTAGAGTCAACTTTTTATTTAAAATGCTTAACCAATCGGTGTTATTTATGGGTGAAAAAAAATATAGTAAAGGAGTTTAAAAGTACAAGAAGCAAAATCAAGAAACTCATGGTAACACAAGAGGGTCGAGGGAAAGGGCGGGGTGTGGGGGTGCGGAGGTATTTTGGTCATTTCTTTATTCCGCTAATTATCGTTCCTCTCCTCTCCCTCCCTTTCTCACTTTATCCCCCCGTCACCCATGCCCCTCTTTCTCCAATTTTTTTTTCTCATAATATTTCTACTCTTCTTCAATTGCTCTTTCGTTGCTTTTATTATAGTAATAATGATGATGATGATGATGATGATGATGATGATGATGATGATGATGATGATGATGATGATGATGATGATGATGATGATGATGATGATGATGA